ATTTTTGTTCAGTCCAGCGCAGTAAAATTTATAAATGTTTGGTATTTCGGAAGTTTTATGCAAAATTATAATTTCAATAAACCAGTTAAGAAATACTTAATTCTCTTTCTCTTTTCTATTAATCACTGAAGGCTGGATGCAGTTATTTCGGTTATGGTAGAGAATTATAGTTGTCTGTCTGTGTATGGTAAAATAACCTTCCATCAGCTGTGCAATACTGGAGTTCTATTGCTCATAGCAGTGTTTACTTTGCGGTAAAATGCCAATAGATTCTCATGAATTCTTTATATCGCTGTATATGTTACTTGGAACTCAAAAATTATACACATGAATCTTACTACTTCTATCAAATGTATTGTAAGTAGATACAACCATGGCTTTCTATATTTCCTTTTGTGTGGTGTTAATGCAAGAAACAGGTAATGTATATATAGTTATTTTAAATTGTCTTGCTTCGCGAAAGCAAATGTGTGTAACATTTCTTCTGCCCTCTATGTTCAGTAGGTGGAACTATTTCTTTGTCTCTGATATTCTTCTCAGCCTTTACTACTTGTCAGTTATTTAACTTTATCCTGTTTCTTTTTCTTCTTTATATGCTCAAATTTAAAACAATTATTAAGAATGTATAATTGAATTACTAGCATTTAATATAAAAACAAAAGTTTACCTTTCACAGCAGCTAGTTTGCGCTGAACACCAGAAGACATCAATTTCTGTTGCTTTGAGCAGGATTTAAAAATTCCTTTGTGAAATCGAGTAAACAAACTGGATCGTCCTCCTTGTGACAAGCTGTCGTTTTTGGTATCATTTAGCCAAATATCATGCGTGGTATATTTCTTTTTTGTATTTTTAGGAAAAGTATTTGGCTGACCTGTCAAATTCGTGCTGTTGTCAATCGTCATCATGGTTGGAAGAGGTCTAGGCCATTCGGGAGAACTAGCAGTCTCTATGTAGGTGTCCCTATGATCTGTATCTTGTGGTTGCAGTTTAGTAACAGTTAAACCATGAGACGTTTGAGCACTACGTCCGGAGAAGGAAGTAAACATTATAACATTTGATGGAGCCATGTTACCTTCAGTGTTACTATTAGAAGGAAAATACCAGTTATTGAAGTTCTTGGGTACACTGTTGGATTGCAAGGATAAGCTTGTGATTTCTGAGTTTTGAAAAGCAGAATAACTCACGTCAGGATTATGACAAGGGAGAGACGTAAATGAGCTGAATGTCATTGATTCATGACTTAAATTTTTAAAGAATCCCAACTTTCTATTTACCTCAATGCCCGCACTGGGTGCAGACACCTTAGGTTTCTTCTGACTGTGTACAGACATCGTACTGAACCCCTTTGGTTTAGACTGTGATTTAAGTGTTGATGTTTGGAAAAGATGTGACTGAAAGTGAAGTGAGGCCTCAGTCTTTGAGCATTCTAACTGAAGTGGAACCACTTCCCTTCTCTTACCATGAAAAGTCTTCAACTTATTTGGAGATGATGAGTTCACATAATGATGATCATCTGGCTCAACTTTCAAAAAATCACCAGAATTTACAGCTAACTTAAAAGTTGCATTATTTCTGCTTAGATTGACATTTTCCTTGTATATATTGGTGTCTTGTGTAATGCTAATATTTTGAAGAGTCTCTTCCTGGTTACTGTTATTCCCAAGAGATATCACAGAGCTGTCCAAGTAGGAAATTAACGAATCATCTGCTTTTATAAATTCAGTTTCCCCATTTTCACTGTTTACCGTTTCTATTGAACTTGTAATTCTAACATCATTAACTGGTGATAAATAAAAGCACTCTTCCTGAAAATTTAATTTAGTGGACATAGAAACAGGATCATCATTCTGGAAATGGTCTTCCAAAAAACCAAATACTTGGTCTAAATTATGTGAAATTACATGACTATCATTATAACTTGTCTGTGACAAGTCCTTGCGATGACAAGGGGAATTTTTCTCACAATCCTCTTCACAGATATCACCATTGCCTACATTGTAACGGTCACTTGGAACGGAAATCATTTTATTTACGTTTGGTAGGGTAACTCCAATCAAACCAACATTTTTTAGCAAACCACATATTAGGACCTGTAGCAGGAAATTAGCTGTTCCATACTCCGCCTCACTGTGAGAAATGAAAGTTTTTATACTGCTACCCTTGTGAAAAAATTCCTTAGCTCTAACTATCATTGTTTTATTAAGTTTTCTGGATAGCTCAGAGAGTACTAAGGTCTTTTCACACACACCTTGAAATACATGACATGATCTAAGAAAATGCAGTTCATAACATATTTTAGAAATGAGCCTATTTTGAACACCTTCACTAAAAGTGTATTCACAGATAAGTGATGAGAAATAACGTTCTATGAATTTCCTAAGTTCTAATTCTAAAACAACTTTCCATGCTGGTTGAAGCCCTTCTATGTGTTTCACACGAACCAGTTTTGTCGAATCTTCATCTAATAAGATACGGAAGATTTTGCTGACCACATATTTTAGCTTATCTTCATCCTTTCCAAGGAGATGAGTATTATTTTGAGGTACGATATATTTTCTGTTATAATTTTTGTATCTTTCGTCATTCATAGCCTTAGACAAATTGTCTTGTAAAGCAAGACTTTGTATGACGTCATTCTCTTCTAAAGAATATTGTAGGTTGACATTATGTACCAAGCATGCGTTCCTGACCTGTTTATCATATTTAGTCAAATAATGTGTAGTTTTCAGATCATCTCCCCGTATATTTCCTGATGTATTCCTGATTTGATGAAACGTACTCGTATGTTCCTCTAAAGCTAAGAAATCTTGGATGTCCGGTGATTGTTTTTTTTTTCTAAGAGTATGAACATCGAATAACACATTCCATTTCTGTGTATATTTGATTTCATCACTGCAACCTGTCTTACAACAGAAATTTACAAACATGCATGGCTCATGACTATCTGGAAGTTCTACAGTTTCAACAAGTTCATCCTTAGGCACTGATGTAAGAGCAGATGAGCTATTAGCAGCTCCGTCTTCAGCTTGGCCTCTGACAACCCTGCTATTTTCATTCTCAATCATATATTGTGTTTCATTGATGTTATTCTTTATGAAATAATCCACTGGTTTTAAAACTGCATTGATTGACTGCATATTTGACTTATTGGAAACTGTATTGACATTAGTCACAGGCGAAAGGGGATCATTTTGTATTTGTGTGACAAGTCCTGCATGACTAGTTTCATCTAACTTCAATTTGGAGTTCACAACACTATTATATCTCGATAATTCATTAGCACAAAATGTTGGTTTATTTTTCTTTATAAATTTAGAACAATGTAAAGTATTTTGATGCGTATATGCATTTCTTGCATTTGGTAGGCTGTGGTTGTATTCTTGTAAGACTTCTTTACAGAGTACAATGTTACCTCCTCCAGTAACATTTAATGTGCAATGCCTTTGTATATCTGTAACTTCCCAATCTGTAGCAGTGTTTGTACTTTGTGCATTGCTTCTTTGTTCTACAACATTCTGCATACTTTCTAAGTCTATCAAGGTACCATTATATTTTCTTATATTTGTAGTACCCTCTTCCATATTGTTATGTTCTCGCTCAGTTTCATTACAGTGAATATTATTGTTATTCTGTGTTCGGACATTATTAACACTATGCTCCATGCCGTGTAAATTTTCAATATTGTCTATGCTGCTGTAATGCTGTCCCATATTTTCGGCATCCTTATTAATATCATTATGGTTGTATAAATCTATACGTCTTTGAATGGTTGTGTCATAGTCTGTTAGAGCTTGTTTGCCATATACGATTATGTTGGTCTTCAAAGAATAATCTTCAGATTGTATATTATCAGCCATTCCTTCCGTGCTTTCTTTCTGACGTACAACACTGGAGTACTCTTGAGGTTCCATTTTACCCAGGTTACGTTCTTTAGTTTGTATGTTTTGGATATTACCTTCTTGTTCTTGTCGATCTTCTCCACTATTTACTGTACTATAGCCTTCATCCTGATCAAGCAGATCTGTGTCATTATTGGCGTGCAAGATAATTTCGGAATTAGAGGTTATTTGATTGTTTTCCTTTTTTCTTTTAACAGTGTCATACATATTGTCGTCAGCATAGAAAGCCCTTATATGTTGTTCATCGTTATCCCTGCTATCATCAAGGAGGAAATGAGTGGATTTTGTTCTTAATGGCGAGTCAATGTTTTCATCAGCATCACTGCCACTTCCTCCTTCAAACACGGCATCCTCTGGATAATGGAAAGCTTCAATTCCAAGTAATCCTGAGGTAAAATACTTTTCAAGACGCGAGGAAGCAAGTAGAGTTGGGCTCACGTCATCAAATATTCCCTCCTTTACTTCACTGTACGTTGATCCTGATTTCTCTGACTGAGTGTCGCTCCACTCAGACCCTTCGTCCTGGAGACGATGCCAGTTAAGTTTATTCTCCACCATAGCTACGCTAAAATACTGCTCCAGCTGCAAATCAGTCATATCATTTGTCGGAGTAGCAGCGAGCGATTCTCTTTCGCTTTCTTCACAGCTCTCTTCTACAATAGTGTGGAGAGACAAGTCCAATTGATTAGCATATGGATTCTCAGCAAATATAGACTGTGATCTTTCTTCCACAGAATCATCACTCATGCTATCATCTTCAGTGGAATATTCAGGCCTGTGGTCAAAGTTATTCAATATCTCACGAGACAAACTTTTCCTCGAAATGGTGTGTGTTTTAATACTTTCTGTAGCAGTGCTCGTGGATTTTTGATTGTTTTCTAAGTCATTACATTTTAAGACACACACAAAATATTCTTCAAGTTTAGAAAAAGCTGCGAGTTTCTCAGCAGTAATATTACTAGAGTTATCATCCCAATCATTTATTTCACTCTCTGAGTCTGTTGTAGCTAAAGCATCTAAAATTGGAGTAGTACTCCGTTCAAAAGCTAAGCTTTCATCGAACTTGACTAGGTTCCTGGACGAAGTTTCTGTCATTTCGTTGACAGACTGTGTAGGATCTAATAGTGAAAGTTTCGAATCTTCTTGAGAAACGTTTATTTTATGTACATCCAACACTTTATTTAATGCACTCGCACAAAAGTCATTTTGATACTTTGGGTTGTTTGAACCATCTTCTGTAAGTGAAGAATTATAAACATCGTTCTGGTGATTATCATCTCCTTTTTCGTGAACCTTACCTGCAGTGAAATTCGTGATTTCGAAATTACAAGAATTAGTTTGTAATGTACTAGAATGCTCATGATTCATTTCCATAAAACTACTTGTTAAAGTTGTACCACTTATGCTGACGTCAATCTTGTTTACGTCATAAATAGTAGTTGTTGGCTCATCATATTCGCTATTCAGTTTTAAAACACTGTGTTTTGGTCTCGAATTTAAAGAACATGTAGCTGAATCTGTATTTATTATGTCTTCGTAACAGAAATTCAAAACGCCTGTGTCTGATATCATTTTCACAGTACTAACACTAGTACCTGACACTATATCAACTGTGCCTGCTTCACTAATGTTCATAAAAAGATACCTGAATTTGTACTACTTACGTCTATTGTGTGGCCTGGCTTTGCTTTTCACACCAGCAACACTGTCCTCTTCACGTATTTTCATTTCATGCTTTTGGTTTGCTGACGTATATATTTGAATATGTCATGACTATTTTTAAAGTGTGAAATTTAAACTCCTCACACTCTTTCACAATCACCATGTCACCACTAACCTTATGTTAAAAAGCATTGTTAACAGTTAGCAATGAAACTACGCTGTGTGGCACAGAAAAACCTGTCCCTACGCTACAGACCGTTTGTTTTCCTGAACACTGAAATCCACGTCAGTGAATCTCTTGAAAATTTTCACTCTTTTCTAGTCTAACAGGTTTCTGTAATATCGTCTCATAAGATAATACTTGCTTGGCACCAGCGTCACGTCGCGTTTGGTTCACATTCATACGTGAGTAAGAAACACATATTTATAAACTTCTAAACATATTCTTCGTTCTCTTTTTATGTTGCTGTACGTGCTCTTACCATCTAGCTACAGGATAGCAGTTTGTTTTTTACTTGTACGACAGACTGGTGGCCTCAACTGATGCAGCACCATTGGACATAAAACAATCTTACAACCAATCAGCAGTACGCAAAGCTATCTATGTAAACCGACTCAAGAATTTCGTGACTTGCGTTCCTTGCATGATCAAGCTGTATAACGTCACATCCGTATTTGAATCAAAACGGCTTCAGGTTCTACCTTTCCTATGTCTCGTCGTCACGTGCCTTACACATTTTTTGCCCTCCCCTTCCCCTTTCCTCGAACTAAAAGAATTGGGCAAGGCCACTCACCGCCAGCCACGGCCAGCGAAAATTCCTATACGATCAATTACTGTAGACGTATCTACCTTAGTCTTAATTTCAGCCCTAACCTTGTGAAAAGTGAACCAGAGAAACCTGTCAGTTTCAGGCTTGGATTCCAGCTAAGTGTGTCACTAGTTCTTGCACCATTAAAAAACTTTACAAATTAATACTTTTTACAAATATATTCATTCTACACCAGGAAAATTACGTCAACTCATTTACTCTACATATAAGAACATAGTAATAATGAATGATATATTCAGAAGTTTGGGATAAATTTATAATCCAGTGTTGTTAGCTGTGTTATATTTTGTTCCAGCCACACATGTTTTACTAATTTTGCATGCACAGCCACATGATGTACCAATATGTTCGAACGTTCTGGAAAATAAATTTCATTTGAAATAGATCAAATGCTACTTAACCCTTTTGTGATCCACGAATCTTCACATAATTTTAGTTGCGTTTACTCGGTTCAATGAAACTCTGGGATAAAATTGTTTTGCTCACATTAAATTAATGTTCACCCATTATTTAAACTTTCTTAAATTTCAGCTAGACGATTTTATTTACCTAAGGGTATGACAAAGATATGAAGAATTCAAAACTGAGAACTGGTAGTAAATCACTGGGGAGGATAGGGTTACACCTTGGTTTAAATCCATAGCACGAATTTGTCTGTAAATCCAACCATTAGTCAACTAATCTGACGCACGACGCGGTCTCAGCTCTGATGAGTATATATACACAGCGTTGTCACAAGTAAATAGACACCACCTTTTCAGA